CCAGTGGGAAGAGGTGGAAGCTGCTCTGACCATCCCCTGAGGTCACAATGCCACCCCAATAACACTTTGGAAGAACACTGGGTAGAGACAAGCATTGTCTCTTAGGTGGGTTTGTGCAGTTCAGAGGCTAGCCTCAAGCCAACGATAAACTGCAGGACACAGGATTTGGCTGATTGACACAGATCCTTGCTTCCCCAGGCTGGAAAGGAAGGAAGCCCCGGCACACTGCAGCCCTGTGTGAATGAGGTCCTGTCTTCCTATCCTGTGAGGATTATTTCAGACTCAGGCCTGAAAGATCATCTCAGGACATTCGCCAGACACCCAGGAATAGCTCTTGGCTTCAGTCACAAGATTCACCACCCAAATGCATTCCTTTTCCTCACCGTACAGTACAACCCTCCTCTTCTAGCCAACGTAAGAGAGACTGGGTTGACTGGGAGAAAATGCTGATCTTGTTAAAAGCAGTCACCATGGGATTGCCAAGGTACAGAGACAGTCTCAGGCCAGGAAAGGGAAGGAGGAAGGGCCCAGTCTATCATTCAGGACTCATTAAGCATCTATTTGTAGGACACTGGGAACAAAGAGCAGTGTAAGACATAGCCCCCAGCTCTGCAGCATGACGAACACACGGCTGCTGGAGGAGGGAGGGGGAGACCCAACACAGGCCTTTTGAGAGGAGCTGTATGAATCCAGTGTGCAGCAGGCTGGCTGGCCGTGAAAAAATGTCCCGCTCTCTCCATGGCCAGGCACAAACACACTGTTGTGCCCATGGGGATAGGGAGGAAGAAGAAGTCTCCCAGGGGAACGATTCCAGCCATCTGTAGGCCCCAATCCAGGGACTTTCCACAACACTGAACGTGACCTTTGTGTCTAGGCTTCTAACATAGAAGGTGCTGGATTCTCCTACAAAGAAAACTTTCAATGCAAGGGTGTGTGATGGCTTAGAACAAACCAGTGTCACTCAAAGGGACAGCACACACTTTCTAAGTCCAATGGACCCGGCTGCTGTCCATCTCATCACTGTGAGAGAAACAGAAGAAGGGCCAGGAGAAAGAAAACTTGTCACAATCCCAGTAATGTGTCGTGTCTATGGCTGACCATCTTCTGCTACAGGTTTTTGGGATTTTAGCTTTATGTCTCTCTGGGAACAACTGAAGCTTTTAAAAAGCTTCAGTTTAAAACTTCAGAGTTTAAAACTCTGATATTTGTGCAAGATGATTTCCTGGTGACCATGGAGCCTCCAGGTTACTGTCTTACACACGCTCTTTGAGTCCTTCAGTCCTAGCTCCAGGGCAGAGCAACCATAAGGCTCTGGGCCTGCAAGAAGCAGACACTGTGGGAAGACAAGAAAGGCCAACCCACCACTGTCCCTCTTGTTATCCTGGGAGGTGAAGAGTAGATGCAGGGTGCTTATAGCTCTCTAAGTCAAAAGGAAGGCACAGGGAGGATGGGGGCAGTCAGGTGTGTGAAGAAACTGCTCCTTCTGGTTTTCAGGATGGCCTTCTGGGTGCCTCTCTGACTGAGATATGATGTCAAAGGCAGGCATGCGTGACCAAAAGAGCAGGTAGAATAGTAATGTACCAATGGCACACAAAGAAGAGCCTCGGGGGCCTTGGGCAGGGCTGTGGCTGTAGCTTGGTTGGCAGAGTGCTTGTCTAGAATGGATAAGGCTTTGGCTTCACCCTTCACCACAAAAGTAGACACAGTGACACAGCTTGGTACTCCAGCACTTGGGGTAAGAAGCTTAAGGTCACCCTCAGCCACTTGGAGAGTTCCAGGCCAACGTGAGTAGAGGCCTTGTATCTAATTAAATAATACAATAATTGTGGGAGAGTACAATATAAAAAAACTATGTGTAGACCTAAGTATGGTAATTAAAAATAGGATGGTCTACATACACTGTGCCAGGAGAAGTTAGGGGCAAAGTCAAAATGGCAGGGCCCCTTAGGGTTCATAAGGAGATAACTAGAACCCTTCCTTATCTAGAGCTCTGGTCAATATGAGAGGAACCCTCGGAGAAAGACATATCCCCATACATCACATTCTTACAGTAGTGGGTCCATAGAACGAGCTGGCTACACCAGGCATCCAGTGACCGGTCTGCACTGGATGGCCCACATTCCTGTCCCTTAGGCTGGTGACTGACTGGGAAACCCATAGACACAGCATAGGCAGGGAGCTACAGCCCTGATGGACATAAATATCCTCACAGAGACAGCCCCTCCCACGGGGTTCTGAGAGCTTGCTGCCACCCACAGCCTGATCTAAACATACTAGGCTTTCTAGTAACCATTTCCTCACCCACTCCATGGGGCGTGATAATTCCTGCCAAATAAATGTGCCACGTGGGTTTCACTTATTTGAATGACTCTCCAGATGGATAAGAAGACAAAACAAGCCACTGGCACCAGATTTTTACACATGCTCACAAAACGGCATGAACTCAGGGCTGAGGACATAGCTCTCAGTTGGTACAGTGCTTGCCTGGCATGCATGAGGTCCTGGGTTTGATCCCAAGTACTATATAAACTGGGCATGGTAATCTGTGTCTATAATCCCAGCACCTGAGAGGTGTAGACAGGAGGATTAAGAGTTTAAAATTACCCTTTGCTATAGAATACATGAGACTCTGCCTCAAAACAAAATAAAGTAAAATAAAACTAAACAAAAAATTATTGGTGTGAACTTCTAGAGAATAATAGAAGAGCTCACCTGAGCCCTTCAGAGGATAAGAAAGATATACATTCAGAACCTGGATAGGTATGGACTTGACCTATACCTTCAGCAGGACCTCCAGAGGCCACCACAGAGGTAAAGGTGGCTAAGTTCCAAATCAGGATACCCTTCCCCTTAAGAGCTTCTCTGTAAACATATAGGTACATGAATAGGGAAAGGATTATGGGTAAAGGGTACAGAATTGATAGCACAACCCTGGCATTGGAGACCGGGCAATGGGAATTCCGGTAATGCAGGACCCGTGTCCTGAAAACCCATCACAGCATCCTTAGAAAGTATAAGGTTCCACAGATACGGAAAGGATGGCCACAGACAACATAGAGAACTGAGCAAAGCTTGACTCTGGGTGGCTCTGAAAGGTACAGGAATGACCTGAACATCCAATGGGTCACTTATGTGATGACCTTGTTTCAAGGTCAAATCACAAGCCTGAGATTGTATTTCATCTGCCAAGCCGGGGTTGCTGTCTCCAGCCCTTACTCAGTTCCTTGGAAAAGCAGGTCTTAGTAAAAGCCACATACTATTATTATCCTGAGGAATAAAGCCAAGAAGAGAGCACTGAGTTCCCACCCTTAGCTCCAAGCAGAGTCCAAGCATGCAGGGCAACAGGCTTTAGCCAAGAGCCAGGGCCAGCCAATCCCCAGGGCATTGGTGGGAATGCTTTTAATTTGATGGCACCAGATTTGTAGGGTCCCATAGAGTACCCATCATTTGACAGTTGCCAGACCAGCTCACGGCAGAGGCCCACACTTTGTATAAACATGCAGCCAAAGGGTATCTGAAGCTGCAGTAAAATTACATGTGAAAGATGGGGTTGCCCACCCCTTCCCCTAAGGCTCCCATTCTCCATCAAAGCCCACCCTTCGCTCATTCCCTGGCTCATGACATCTCAGATTCTGTAGGATCACATCATCAGTGTCCACACATTTTCGGTAGACTGCATATGCTCCAGAAGTCCATGTATTTGCTGCTTCCCATACGCCCCAGGCTCTGAGAACAACAACCAGTTTATCAGGCTAATTGTAGGAAGCACCTAGTAAATACCGTTTGGCTAAACACTACAACTTTCCCTTTTCCCTTCAACAGACAGCCAAGAGCCTTTTCTGAAACCATCTATGACTAGAGGACTCTACAGTTCCAAGTAAAGTATTTGGACATGGGGCAGTGGTCCCCACCCAGCGGACTATTCAGCCCTCTTCATCCAGCATGGTAGGCCCCTGCCTCCTCCATGGCCATCAGAATGTGCTCTGAGGGTTACAGGGCTGAGAAGACTGCCTGATTCTTTTGCCTGGGATATATTTAAAGCACACACAGAAACATACTGACAGGTAAAGCTGGGAAAGGTTCTGTGGTGGAAATCTACAACCTGGAACTGAAATACGCCCTCACCATACGCCCTCACCTATAAACCAGACATTCAGTCTGACTCAGAGGCTTGGAAACTGGTAACCAAAACTACACGGGAAGGTGGGCCAGGAAACTTCTGTACCCCCCACCTGGCCATGGGGCCCTCAACTGCCTTTCTCAGTCCCTCTCCAGGAAAAGAAGGTTAGAACAGCCTTGAAAGACTATTTTCCCTTAGGCCCCCAAGTCACCTCCTGCAGGCCAACAAGTGAGATCTGAGGGGTTAACACAAGAGAATGGGAGGGACTCCTGAGCATGGCCAAGAGTGAGAAAGGAGGCCTTCCATTCTGTTTTTGCTGTCCTCTGTGTTTATCGTCACTAGACAGGACGATCCCTACGCCGCATTTTCCATCAGCATCCCTAAGAGACTGTCCTCTTCAGCTCTGTGCAGTTTAAACTTGAACTCTGACTCAGCCGGTCACTTACCACCCTGAGAGGACAGGTAGCCATTCTCCTATCAGACCGGCTCTCTCCTCAAGGCTGGCTGCAGTTTTACTGGGTAAGGCCAGGCTAGGGAGAGCGGTCTGCTGTTACTGGGGAGGATCAGGAAGGCTAGCTAGTGGTGTCAGTCAATGTTTGCTGAACCCCCAGGTGTCCCCACACTGTCAATATCTTAAATTCAATCTCCCATCACCAAGACTTTTCACCATAATCCTCCAGGATGCAGACCATTGTTGCTTCCTCTGACAAATGAAGAAACTGAAGCTCACTGGCAGTCAAGGACTTTCTCAAGGTGACACAGCTGTTACAGGTGATACTGGGATCCTCAAACTCTTACAGGTGATACTGGGAGCCCCAAACCAAGCCTGCTACGTCCAGTCTCCGCAGAAGTCACACAGCTCTCAGAAGTTTGCACTCACCTGATAGGAAAGGCCATCCTTTCGGGGACTGAGACCAATCTCTTCCATGGATGGAGCGTTCATCATCACCTCAGTCATTTCAGCCGATCTCAGATAGTCAGAGCTGCATGGAAATCCATAGTAGAAGTCAGTACATGCTCACATGGGCCCCGAGATAGGGGGATTGGCTGAAGATAGGATGAGAGAGAGATGCTCAAACAGTTCACAGCAAAACAAGCTCAGGGAGCAAACAACCTGCAGGCCTACAGCCCTCTGGTTCACTCACCTCAAGAGACAAAGCCTGCCTTCTGCAACTTCTCTTACACTCCCCACCCCAACCCTACACAAAGCAAATTGGATTTTCTTTTAAACAGACTAGAAACACAACGGCAGGAGGTTGGGGCGTGGGGTGGGGTGTTGTGTCTGTGTGTCTATGTGAAAATAATGCAGCCTGGTTTCCCTTCACCCATCCACTAAAAATAAGAGTATCTTGCCCATGAATTTCCCAAGGGGACTGCACAGTAGGATTACATAATAACAATAACAGTCCCGCCTCCGGGAGACAGAGTCTAATCATCGAATCACGATGGCTTCTTAACTGTCTCTGTCTGTCTGGTGCTCCTTTAGGCAAAATGTCCCACCCCAAGGGGTCAGCTTTTCTGCAAGCTTCACATCTGCCATTCTACCCCTTCTGGAGTGCTAGCAGCTGCTGCTAACTCCCAGCATGAAAAACATCCCTGGATTAAAAGCTTTAAGGGTACAGATTCTGAGTGCAAAGGAAATTTCCAGAGGGGCCAAGTTGGCCCCTCAAAGGCTGACATGTGAAAGTCCTTTGTACAAACAGTAAAATTATCCTTGCACAGGCCGTGGGCATACACAGAGTCCAGTAAGCGTAGTACCAAATACTCATACCAAATCTAGGTACCTGTGACACAACACCCAGGATTTTCACCATCACATCTGTGCACAAAGTTTTAAAAGGGTAAAAGGCAAGGCAGGAGAAGGCTTTAGAGAAACTACATCTAAGAAAACAGGAAGTCAAGATTTTTTTCTTTTCTTTTTTCTTTTTTTTCTTTTTCTTTTTTTATAACAAACAGAGTAGAAATGGTATTTGGCACTGGCAATAGAAGCAATCAGTTCTGGAAGGGAGAGGAGAAACTAAGAAAGGTGGTCTGGCTGGGGGCAAGTTTAGGTTTAGAAGGTAGACTTTCACAATCTCCTCCTGGGGCTGGAAAAGCTACCCTCACCACTTAAGAGCTGTGTGATCTTTAACAGATCATAGAACCTCTCTGAGCGGCGGGAGCCTTGTTTATGACCAAGATGCCAATGACTGCTAATAAGGCCTATCTCCTGGTTATGTCTGGAGGGGAGAATGTAGCAGACATTGTCGGAAGTGCTAATTAACAAAATAAACACAAATCTTAATAGGTGAGGGTGGGAGGGGGCGGCTAATGTCCCCAAGGTAAAATCTCCAAGGGCTTCTAACATCTCTACCTTACTACATTTTGAGGGGTAGGTGGGGGGTGGTGGTGGAGCACAAGGCCTCCACCACTCTTCAAAGCTTCACCCACATGGCAACTGACTTGTCTGCACACGAGGGGGTACGCAAGCTTCAGGTATAGGGGATTTTTACTTTGTTTTGACAGTCTAATCATAGTTAAACTGGGAGAGAGAGGAGACACTAGAAAGGGTGACCTGGCTTGGGGGCAAGTTTAGGTTTAAAAGCTAGACTTTCACAATCTCCTCCCGGGTCTGGAAAAACTGCCTCCAACTCCCCAAAGAAGGGAGTTAGTAGCACCACAAGGTGGTGACCAGGGTCTTCGCCTCCTGTAACAGTTCCTTCTTGGAACTGTGGCGCGGGCACAAAAAGTTAAACTGAGAAACGCCAACTTTCAGAGTTCCTAGGCTAAGCAGAACAGCGCCGCTTTCTCGGGGTTCAGAGCTTGCATTGAACCGGGGACTGGCTCTCCAAGGCTGGCACCTGCGAGCGCGCTCCAGGACCACGGGCGCTCGCCTCCCTATAGCGCCCCTCCTCTTCACCACAGCAGGAAGAAGCAGCTGGCGCGCACGTCCCAGCAGCTAGGGGCCTGTCCCCGGATCCTTCTCTGCTCTGATCCTCCACAACCCGATCCTCCCCGGCTGGAGGCAAACCTCTGCAGCTCCCGACTCAGCAGTGACCGGCTTCTTCCAATTTGGCACTGGGAGAGCCCGCTCCTTCCCAGCCCACAAAGCTCCACAAAGGCACGTTGGATTTTAGGGACTACGGAGAGGGCAGGGATTGTAAGGGTGTAGCGTGCACCCTGATGCTTGTGGCTTGCTTGTGCGGAGAGCGTCTCCCCAGCACCCTCCCTCCCCCAGAAGCTCTGCAAAACCAGCGGTTGCACCGGCTCAGCCCCGCTGCAGCCATCCTCGACGCCGAGACTTGCGTGCAAACAAAAAGGAAAAGGGGAGGGGCCCGGGAAGCCGGAGCCCCCTGCACCAAGCAGGACTCCTCTCCTGCAGCCCTTTGGTTTCCTTAGGGGCCTTCAGGTGGGACCCCAGGTTCTCCCCACCTAACGCCACCATCTCCACACCCTCTGGCCGCCACTTAAGTGAAGGTTCCGAGTTCACTTCCTTTGTCTGGATGCTCTCAGCACCGCCTCCCCCAACCCCCAGCTTTGCAACCTTGACGTCGACTCCTGCAGGAGCTGAGCGTCTGGGTGTCCGTGCCACTCTCTGGCCTCGCACCCGGAGCCGGCACTAGGCGGCTGCTGGGCTGCCAGCCACCCGGGTTAAACTGGCGTCCGCCACAGGCGAAGGATACTCACCAGTGAATGGGGAAATATACAGACATGAAGTCCTAGGGGAGGCTGACCCACGCCCTTGTGATTAAGAAAACAAAACAAAACAAAAACCGGTTACTGCGTCCTGAATGAGATTGGGAGGGGCGCAGAAGAGAGCAGCGGGCAGCCAAGAGCGGGCACTGGGCTATCGCCGGTCCGCCTTCCGGAGACAGCCTCGCTGCCAGCGGCGTCGGCAGTGCAGACCAAGCTCTCCGCTCTCCACCGAGCTCCGGGTCCCACAAAGAGCCCGGGAAGCAGCATTTATAAGGGAGGGGCGGGGCTTGTCCGAGAGCAGCCCCGCCTCCCCTCGCCCACTCTTAGAATAACGTCACCAAAATCATGAATGGCTTCAGCGCTTGCTGCTCCCGCGGGCGGCGACGGGGACCAGCCGGGCTCTGCACCCCGCCTGAGTTGGTTCCCAGCAGCTACGAGCCCGGCCCCTTCCCCACCGTTGACACACACGCGCGTTCCCGAGCTGGAGTTCAATGTCAACGCCGCTTCCTGCCCACAAATCCGCAGCGTCTGCAGCCCCCTCCCTGCGCACAGCCAAGGGACTCTAAAGGCTACGGGGATGGGTGGGCGTGAGGAAGGAGTGGGGGCCCACGCGGGACGTGACAGCTCGCCGGGGGAGGGCGCCATTCCTCCACTCGAGAGCGTGCTGCCGCGTTCTCTGTGACTCCACTTCTCAGGACCCTCCGCTGGTCACCCATGCAAAGTAGGCCTCTCCTGAGCATCATCGCCCGTGGCACCCTGATCGTGACGCCCAGGGTGAGACCAGGAAAAAGGAAAAGGTGGGAAAGGAGGCTGCAGAAGTGCGGAGCTGGAGGCACCCATATCTGAGAGGACATTGTTGGCTTTCTAAAAGTCTGCAGTTCTGGAGTCCATGCAGGGTTCTGTTTGTGGGAGAAAGGATGTGGTGTCTTACTAGGGTTTTTCCATTGCGCGAGCGCGCTTGCGTGTACACACACACACACACACACACACACACACACACACGGAGTCACACACACGGTTTGCGTTCGTTCGGAGTAGGGGGTGAGGAGGATGGGCGGAATGCAAGTACACCTCGCTAGCCTTCGCTCCCAGAGCTGTTCCGATATTTCTAACACACAAAGAGCTAAGGGAGACTGACTCCTTCATAGCCCAGGAATTGCGGTTCCGGTGTCTATCTTGGAGACTAAGCTGCTCTGCAGCCTCTAGAGCCAGGAAGACAGGAGTCCGTCTCAGAACCCAGCGCTGCCCCTCTGTGGCCTCTGTTTCAATTGCTCTTGTAAAACAGCTTCCTAACCTTGACCTATGTGCATAAAGGGACTGGGGAAAGGGGGAGCGGTGCTTGAAAACTAAACACAAATGTGATTTAAAATACGTCTGCACCCTGAAAGAAAAGTGTACTGGTCATTTCCAGTAAAAAGCTGCTGGGATCAAGAGAGGAGTTTTCAGTAGCAGGGCCATGAGGATGTTGGGAAAGAGGACCTCAGAATTTCCAGCATCTACTCTTTCTCTTGAATTAACCCAAAAATAAAATAAACCTATAAGACCAATTTTGCAATAACTGCTTTACCAGCTATGTGTACTTATATACAATCTGAGTAAAAACTGAAGCTTCCTGAAAGAGTCGCATTTTATAATCAGGGGTCTGGTGGAGGGCCAGGCTTTATGAACAGGTGCCAAGGGAAGATGTATTATTAACAGAGGGGTAGCCTGCTCCTTTTAATAGGATGGGACAGTATCTCAGCGCCATTGGCTGGCATGTGGCATATTGTCCCCTGGGGAGCCAAAGAGAAGCAAAAGTTTGGAGATCTAGATTCTAGGCTGAGCTTTCCTGGAAACCTGAGGGTGGTCCCTGAAGCAGGTCCTGGGATGAGAAGAAGGATGCCTTCTCCCATGTTTGCCCACAGCAATCCCTCACATGGCCTGAGCTGAAAGGCTACTGTACCACTGTGACCTATCACAGTCTCACCTTACGTATTTGTGATTATTACCTTGTGAAGCTATCCAATGTTAGAAAGCTATCTTAACCCTCCCACTACCACCACACACCACGGAAGTCCATCAGCCCTTTTAGGGAAGAGGATGTGAAGTAAGGTCTCCCTCTAGAGTAATAACCTGGCCTCTGGAAAATGCCCTACATTGGAGGACACCGAGTTAGTGCCAGGTGACTACTCTTTGGGAAAGTGTATAAATGAACATTTTAGCTCAATTTCACCTCTCAGAAAATCAGAGCAGAAAACCAGCCTTGGATAGTGACTCCCAAATCTATAATATGCCAATTCTCTTTCAAAACATTGTCACTGTGTTGACTTCCAACCGAATGGGATGGAATTAGATGACATAGCTTAACAGTTTACAGCGCCCAGTTTACAAATGTACAAACCATGGCTGAAGTAAATTAGGGAACTTTCCGTAGCTAGACAAGGCTGGGCTGGGGCTGGAACCCGAGTTCAGGTACATTTAGCTTCCTCTTCTATCACGTCACTCCCCATCTCTGCATTTCCTCGTTCCTTTAAGATACAGGAGATTGGGCAGGCAGTGCATGCCTTTAATCCCAGCACTCAGGAGGCAGAGAGAGGCAGGCAGATTTCTGTGAGTTCAAGGCCATCCTGATCTACACAGAGAATTCCAGAACAACAAGGGGCTACACTGAGAAACCCTGTCTCAAAATACCAAAACCAACCAAACAAAAGATACAGGAGACTTTAAGGCAAACACTTAACGTTTTTTTTCTCTCTGCTCTATGAGACGGGTTTCTACCCTTACTGCCTTTGAATAAATGAAGAAACAGAAACACCAACAAATGAAGGGACTTCATGCCCCAGAACCTTAGAGCTGAAAGAGACCTTCCAAATCGTGGATTCCAGGTTCCTCGTTTTACAGGTGAGAAGACACTTAACAGATTAAATGGCACGATCAAGGTCGCCAGGCTGTTAGTGATGTGGATGGAAACCACACTGTCAGACCACTGGGCAAGTGTTCTTTCCGTGATCACGCTGCAGTATGCGCCCCGTTTGCCAAGAAGCCCACAGTAGAGATAAGATGAGAGACCTGGGTTCGCTAAACCACCTCAGGCCATCAGCCAACATCCATTGTGCACCCCCTAGTGTGTGCAGATCCACTGAGCCCTCTGCACCTGCATCGGCTCCTCCATCCACGTTTGTCCTGAGGGATCCAAGAGTTGCATTGCGATTCAGCTTGAGTAAAAATTCTAGGTATAGTTAGAATTATTTTGCTTTCCAATCTTGAACCGGTCTAATTTCTTAGCTCCTTTTCTCCTTTGCATAAAATCAGTTAAAAAAAAAGACATTCTTAAAGGGCAAAGAACTTAAAATATGCATGTATAATGATACATGTACAAATATACACATACATATAGTGTGGATATATTGTTTTGTTTTTTAAAAAGAGGGTATCACTCCGTAGCTCAGCCCAGCCTGGAACTTGCAGCAATCCTGCTTCGGCCTCTCAGTTGCTGGGAATTTCGGGTGTGTGTCACCATGGCCAGCTGAACTTAAAATCTTGTGAGAGTTACCTATCTCAGCTGTAACTGTGTGTACAGGAGGCATATAGTTAGCTATTCATCTTATTAAAGAGTCCCCATATAAATTCATCTATTGATGTGTCTCGCATCAGGTCTCCTTGTGTTTTGCCAAGGACAGTATTGCACTTAAGTTGTTTGGTAGTGGTGACACTGGTACTCTGGTTAGTTCTCTGGAACGTTAGCGAGTATATTCGATCTGTTTGAGGACAGCTGGGGGAGGCAAGGAGCAACAAATGGAGAGGTGTTCTCATGTTTATGCGTCAGAACACCTTAGTCACAGGCTCTGTGACTACACTTAATGGATGAATGAAGACAACTAGTCTCCAGGGATTAAATACCCTGGCCACGGCCACAAGGCCTTCTAGTGGCTAAGCCAAAATATAATTCTGGGGCTTGCCAATTCCAAAGCCTGTGTCCCCTACAATATCACACTTAACATGACCTCTGTGCCTTTGTTTGTTTTAACAGCTAAATTGTAAACTGAACTGTAAGCAATAGGAAAGTCAGGACTCTTGATATCTCTCCAGCAGGGCAAGGCAGGCGAATAAACATGTTACCCACCCCGGTAACCCAGGAACTTCTTAAAGATGTCAGTCAAAGTTTTCGGTTTTGTTTTGTTTTGTTTTGCTTTGTTTTGTTTTTTGTTTTGTGTGTGTGAGCAGATTGGGAATTTGGGGCCAATTTTTCAGTGAAACTCATTTGTGTACGTAAGAAATCTAAATGGCAAGAGTGTGTGTGTGTGTGTGTGTGTGTGTGTGTGTGTGTATGTGTGTGTGTGCTGACAGGTGACAGGGGGTTGTGAAACACTTTTGGTACCTTGGAAAACACTGAGCAGATTCAGAGCTTGCTTGTAAGGTGTTTGGGGAAGAAGACCAGTTTAGCAGAGTCCACTACATCTGCTACAAAGTCTGCTACATTTTAGACAGAGCTGGTGATCCCCCACCCAACCCCTCACCGGGCGCCCTGCCTATTCCTCTGTGGCTATGTCCAGCAGTTAGGGGATAGACCTCAGTAGCAATGCTCTGTCCAGTGTCCACATCTCCCTATACCACCAGGACCTCCCAAGACATCCAAGCTTTGATGAATACAGAGGCCTGGGAATGTGAATCTACCTTCTCCCTTTGGTCATTAGGGAATGAGCAATCAACAATACAAAAACCCCAAACCCACAAGACAAAAATCTTTCAACCCTTGATTTCCTTTACTGTGTATCCTCTAGTAAGATGCCAATCCCAGCACTCAGAAGGAAGAGGCAGGCAGACCCGCAGGCAGCCTTGTCCACATAGTGAGTTCCAGATAGCCAGAGACAGCTAGCTACACACACACACACACACACACACACACACACACACACACTAACTTGACCTCTCTGCCTTAGGCTCCTAAAGCAATCAAAGAATCTACTAGATATCTATCTTCTTTGCAGATCTCAGAGAGATGATGACATTGAGAGAAACTTGAGTCTAGAAATTATTGGGAGCAAAGCACTTTTGCATCGGTGTTGAGGTTTGGTCTGTTGCTACACATTGTAATGCTAAATCCCAGGGTCCAATTGCCTGCAGACAAGGGGATTCCCACACAGACCCGGATTCTGTTATATAAACCTTGCCCCACCCCCAGAGGTAGGAGCTTCGGTTCCTGGGCTTGGAGTCTGAGGCAGAGACCACAGTGAGAGGAAGAAAACATACATA